CACAACTACAATAAATAAGTCACAATAAAAGTCAAAGTCAAAGTTGAAAGGAAATTGTCCCTAACAAATTAGTAGATAACCTCCAGGCATTTCATTTAGCTCTCAAATGCTTTAGGGATAATCAACAAATTGTTTAGCATCTTCCTCCGGGAGAGTCTCCAAAGTTTTAAAAAAAAAAAAGAAACTGACCATAAATTGTTCTCAAAAAACCATGTTAAGAAACACATGGGGAAATCAAGGAGTGGATTCCTTATAGTTATAGAGAAAGATGGTTTTTCTTTTGATGTTAATGTTACCAGAAAGTATAGAAATGCTCACGTTTTGCTCTAATCTTCCCATTAAGTGTAAAAATCACAGTTTCTTGTGCATTCTACTATGCCACGATTCTTGAGTAGATAAAGATCTCTCTAATTTTTCTTCATATTAAAATTTGGACATTTTCACCTAAAACTGAGATGGTAAGTGCCCATAGGATCATGGAAACAAGGACAGTTTGTGTTTTCTTAGAAAATATTTGTATACATGAGTATAATTTCATATATAATTAGAGGTCAAAAAAGAATGATGAAGGATAAATAAGGGGCATATGTATTTTTTAATGAAAAAATAATCTGAAATACCAGTTCAAACCTCAGTGATTTTTGGTTTTGAACCTCTGAAAAAATGTAAAGTGTAAATGGTTATATGAATTTATTCATAGATGTGATTATTTCCAGACTTATTGATGAAGAAAATGGAGTTTCCAACTCACATTGAGTTATGAATGTGTTATTTGAGAATCAGGACGTAGTTAATTGTCCAATTTTATGGTAATCATAAGGTTTTCATTTTGCAATGAAATCTGACTGAATTTTTCTAAGTATAGTTTTTAAAAATCAAATTAACTTCTTTTAAAGATAATAAACTATGAAAAAATAATTGGTTTCTTTGTACTGAACCTCAGAGCTATTACAAGCAAACATTTTTATATTTCTTACTTATAGGAAAACTCATACTTTCCCTGTGTAATCTTAGGTTCTTAGCTTTTCATAACTGTAAATCAAACTAAACCATTACAAAAGAAATGAAGATTTAGATGACTTCTTATTGCATTTATTGTAGATATTTAATCTGACATGCTTTTTCTTGTAAGAAGGAATCTGCATGGAGTAGGAGAGCATATTAGGTAACTACAGCTTTAGATACAATATTTAAGTGAATGATGTACAAATTACATGTAATAACGCTCATACATAATCTTGTAAAATTTTGTGTTTGTAGGTGGTTACTTAAAAACTCCTGTCTACTACTGTTACTATGAAGTGTATAATTTCTATTTGCATCTTCTATTCGGCAAATGTTTTGTTCAAAATTTTACACAAAATCAATAATAGTCTTACTTTAAGGTGCCATCCACCTACTACTAAGACATACTGTAAATCTTTGGATTATTGAAGATATTCATATATATTTTCTTTGATTATGCCATGTTATCCTGCATTGTGTCTTATACTGTATTTGGATGCTGTTCTCCTGGAATTAATAGAGAAAATGATTTCAAATCACATCCAGATATCCATGTTCATGTGATCTTTATTTTATTTTGTCTCTATGGTAGAGTATACCATAATAAAGTTTGTATTCAATATTAAGCATTAAAATTTTACTATAAAAATTGTCACCCTTCTTTACCCTTTAAAATATAGCATAATTTTATCTTAAGTGAAATTTGAGATTTTGTTATATAATCAATCTTAATAACCACTTAATTTGTTCAGATTTCCTCATATTTTTCTATGTTCTTTAGTTTAATGTAACTCTTATTTGAATGAAAATGCCAACAGACTAACATTAATATTATAGTTAAATTTATATAAAGATCCATATTAAAATTTCTAAAATGATAATTAAGAATTGCATAATAATTATGAAAATGAAAATAATCCAAAATATGCACTGTTTAATTTTATTCTAGGGGTACTGGATGTAGAGATTGGGATAGGTTACATGTACTATACACTATTTGACCTATTCCTTATGTATTCATCATTTTATTCCTGACAAAGAAGTTAAGACACTGTGTAGTGGGATATTTGCAAATGTAAACAGATTCCTTCTCAGGTAAATTACTGTCACCATTTAAAAAATTATACATGTCTATGATGTTTGGGAACAATTTTCAGATACCACAGACTTAATGAATACTTAATACTCTTTCATCCTATACCCGACCCCTGCAATGATATGTTGGATCTGTAAGTATGATTAGTTTTGGGAAACCTACTTGGGAGGCTGAGATGAGGAGGATCACACTTCAGAGACAACTTAAGCACAAACTTTGCAGATCCCATCAAAACCAACAGTTAAAGTGGTATTTGCCTATCATCCTAGCTATGTGGGAGGCTGAAAATTTATGCCAGCCAAGGCAAAAATAGTTTGCAAGATAGCATCTCAAAGAAATAAATCTGTGCATGGTGGTGCACATCTGTCACCCCACTTATAGCAGCAAGTCTAAAATGGGAGGATCACGGTCCAGAATGTCCTTCCAAAAAAACTGAGACCCTATCTTCAAAATAACCAGAACACAAATGGCTAGAAGTGTGATTCAAGCCATAGAGTGTGTGCCTACCAAGGGCACATCCACCCTACTCCACTGAGGTACTTCAAATCCCAGTATCACCACCAAAAAAAAAAAACATTTTAGAAAATTTAAACTGTTTGCCAAAGTAATGCTTATATACACTATATGGAAAGCTAATATGATTGCTTGTAAGTATATATTTCACTGTTTTCTATTTTTATAGAGACAATTACCAGTATCATCTGTTAATTTTCTTATTTATGTTATTGTCCAATATCTGTCAGGTATTTTAATGCTTTGAACTACTTTGCCTATACTTAAGTGTACTGATTTTATATGTCTGTTGTTTGCATTAGAGAAATGAATGCATTTTTCAAATTTGTCATCACATACACATGTAACTGAGGAATGTATTATGTCATAATTTTGCATGAATGTGATTTTTTAATTATATAAGTGGTAAAGAGTAAACTTGAAGAAGTATAATGATTACTCAAGTTTATGATACCCAATGTTTCTACAAGTTTGAATCTTTTATCTTTATTGCTTTCTATATCTATTGCTGTATAGCTGCATCTCTATCTAAAATTATTTATCTATACCTAAAGGTATATAAAACTAGATATTTGATATTTTGTGTTGAATATTGTTTGAGCTTAGATGTTGGTTACAGTAGGAGTTATTAATCTCCAAATATTTCTAGGCATTGAGCAATGCTCTTTTATGAGCAAAACAATCCTGAGAACCATTAATATTTCTCATTTCCTATTACTCTCTCTCTAAATATAGATTACTGATATTTTAAAGATGACTATTTTCAAATAGTCTAAATGTAAAACTATAGCATTATCTTATTTACATCAATTTCCATAATAAATTCCTCCCCCAAGTAATAATACTTGAAAGTTATTGACTATGCTGATGTTGCTATTTACAATAGGTTTTCTAATAAACCAGGATGGAGAAGCACAATTTCATAGCAGTGAGTGAATTCATTTTTATGGGCATCACAGAGTGTCCTGAGCTGCAAGTTCCATTATTTGTGCTGTTCCTCATTATCTATGCGATTTCAGTGGTGGGCAACTTGGGCATGATCATCTTCACCAAGGTGGACTCCAGGCTACAGACTCCAATGTACTTTTTTCTCAGACACCTGGCTCTCACTGATCTTGGTTATTCTACAGATGTGGGACCCAAAATGTTGAATTTTGTTGTAGATCAAAACCCAATCTCATACTATGGTTGTGCTACACAGTTAGCTTTCTTTATTACGTTCATTGAATGTGAACTTTTTATTCTGTCCGCAATGTCTTATGACTGCTATGTGGCCATCTGTAACCCTCTACGCTATAAGGTCACCATGTCACAACAAGTATGTTGGGTACTGGTGGCAATACCTTACCTCTTCTGCACATTTATGTCTCTTACAGTTACCATAAAGATTTTCACTTTACCCTTCTGTGGCTACAATGTCATCAGTCATTTCTACTGTGAGAGTCTCCCCTTGTTATCTTTGCTTTGCTCAAATACACATGAAATTGAACTCATAATTTTGGTCTTCTTAGCCATTAATTTGATTTCCTCTCTTCTGATCATTCTTGTATGCTACCTACTCCTTCTCATAGCCATTCTCAGGATAAACTCAGCTGAAGGCAGGCACAAAGCTTTCTCCACTTGTGGGTCCCATCTGACAGTGGTCATAGTCTTCTATGGGACTTTGATATTTATGTATGTGCAGCCCAAGTCCAGTCACTCTTCTGACACTGATAAAGTGGCTTCCATATTTTACATCTTGGTCATCCCCTTGTTGAATCCTTTGATCTACAGCCTGAGGAATAAAGTTGTAAAATATGCCCTTCAGAGGACTTGGAAAAAAATATACAATGTCTTCACTTAAAGATTACGTATAATATGAATCCTACAAATGTGATTTCATTATGGACTGGTCTCACTTTCCTCCATTATATGTAGAAAACATACATAGAATTACATAGATTTAAGTGCTGGTATTTTTCTTAAGAGTAGTCAAACTTCTAAATGCTTATAATTACTGTTGGAAAAAATTAAATGCTTTTCTTTCTTTGAGGAGGAGAGATGAACTATGAATGTAATCATTAAATCATTAAATAATGCAGTAAATGTGTTTGGAATCTAAGGACCTTAAAAGCAGGTGGCAGAATTGTATGCTTTATGTGAGTGAGGAAGAATAGTGGGTACCAAAGAGAATTTAAGTAGTTATTTTGTTATCATTCAATACCACAATAAAATTTCCACTGTCCATAGGTGTGTTTGTGTTTCTCATATGCTAACACACACTTTTCATTTACGGATTTCTAATCACTTCCATATATTGTGCTTAAATCAAATTTGATTACCATGTCAGTTTCAGTGCATTCCCTTGATTTAAAGAATCAGTAAACCAGTGTTCTTAAATGGCCCTATTCCACATAGGGATTTTAGATTTCTTCTCTTTATTCCTCAATGTCCCAACTTTCATAAATGAGCCCAATGCATATGTGTATCTCCATATCTGTGAAAGTGAAGAGCTCATCACTTTGATGCATCATCTAACACTGTGTATTTCACTGTATGAGCGTGTACGAGTGGCTGCACCAATTAAGAGAAAAGGCTTGAGCTCTGACAGTCACTTGCACGGATTTGTTCTTTTTGTTTATTTGTGTGTTTTTCTTCCTAGCTTGATTTTGATTCCATACTGTCTGTTGTTCTCTAATGAATTATTTCTCTTCCTTTCCCCTCTACAAGAAAAATTAACACTTTTAAAAAATATTCATATCTATTTTTCATTATTGCATAAGTTACTTCACCTCTGATGAAGTAGATTTATTTTTCCTCTCCTCGTCTCTGAATTTCCTTACATTTGTTCCATAAGATAGTTCAGTATCCCTTGTCAGAATCTATTCTTTGCAGCAATTTGACAATCTGACTTGGAGGGAGCAAACAGTGAGCATTCTACACTTTACACTGTGCTATAATTCTAGTGAGTGTGTATTATGTTATGTATTAAAATATATACATTCATTTCTTCTGTAAATACTTCATCCACAACCATTTCTTAATCCTCTAAGTTTTTTTTACTATTTATTATTAATATATAATTATAATATATAATATATAATTATAAATATATAATTAAATATAATAAATATATTTATTATAATTCATGGAACTTTTTTCATTATGTTTCATATTTTATTTATATTTCATATGTACACACATATATATGTCTTATACATATATATGTTATGCAGCAGTAACATTAGAGAAACTAAGATTGTCTGCAAAAAGCAATATTTATTTGATTTTAAGATCACAACCAGTGGTGTTTTTACTTATTCATTTACTGAGATACTAAAAATACATGCTAGCAAACATTATGGAAACTCAAAATGGAAATTTCATCCAGGATGCCAGAAAGAGGAACCCTCATATGGAAATATAAACTAGTGCTACCACTGTGGAAATCAAGGTGCAGTTTCCTCAAAAAACTAAAAATAGGATTGGAGAACATGGTTAAAATGACAGAGTTCCTGCCTAACAAGTGCATGATCCTGTGTTCTAACCCAGTTACCATAAAAAAACTAAAAGTAGAGCTACCTCATCACCCTGCTACACTCACAATCCTTGAGCATATATCAAAGGGAGTACAAATCAACATACAAGAGACACATCTGCACACACATGTTTAGCAAATCACACTCTAAAGGCAAGATTTAGTATCTGCATAGGTGTCCAGCAACAGATGAATGGAAAAAGAAAAAGTGGTATGTATACAAAATGGAGTATTATTCAACCATTAAGAAGAATAAAATTATGTTGTTTGCAGGAAAATGGGTGGAACTGGAGATTTTCTGTTGAGCCAAGCACAAAAAAAGCCAAATACTACATTTTTTACTCATATCGGTAATCTATATCTAAAATAACAATAATAGCAATAATAATAGATATGAGTGTAAAAGGGGAATTGTCTTGGGGAATGACAACAGCACAGTGAAACCCACTGAATGCTTTTTAAAAATAGTGGAGGAGGAAAGAGAGAAAGGGAATATAACAGACGGAGTTGACATGGTTCAAAATACATTGTACATATCTATGGAAATATCATAATGAATCTTGTACATTTAATGCAGGATAACAATAATTTTGATATGGAAATTTGTATAAAATAACTCTATTGCACTCCAAAGTCAGTTCCAGATGTCTTGATTGTTGAACTCTACTATAAGTTTAAGGGAAAGGTGTAGCCAATTTCTAGAAGTTCTTATAAAAAGTAGAGATGGTATATTTTTCCACTCTGTAAGAATAATTCCATAATATCAAAGGCAGACTAATGTATCATATGTGTAAAAAAATAAACAAAATTTTATCTGATGAATCTATCAACATATAACAGTAAAGTTTCATGTTAAGTTTGTGTTTGCTTTTACATTAAAAACTCATGATATCATTCACCATATCAAAAAATAATAATACCAAGAATGTACCTATCATCTCAATGGGACAAGTTCCAATGTATAAATGATAAAAATGATGATGAGACTAATGTTTAAGTGGGCTTCCTAAGGCTGGTAGTATTTTCCTTTCCCTCCTCTTTTGTAACAATCATTTTATTGCAACACTCATTTTCTTCCTACAGGTGTGACTTTGGTCTTGAATTTGAGCAGTAAAATTTCCTACAAAACAAAGTGCTACTAAGTTTACCTCTAACAAGGGAGGATAAAGTTTAAACAAAACCTTAAAAGTGCAGAAGAAATGCTAGGTACCAGTGGCTCAAGGCTGTAATCCTTGCTACTCAGAAGGCAGAGATCAGAAGGACTGCATTTCAAAGCCAGCTCCTGTCCAACAGTTCATGAGCCCTTATCTTGAAAATACCCAACACAGAAAAATGTTGGCAGAGTTGCTTAAGTGGTAGAGCACTTGCCTAGGAGGCATGAAACCCTGAGTTCAAACTCCAGTACCACCAAAAAAATAAAAAAGAAGAAAAAGAAAATTGCAGAAGCAGAACATCTCTTCCTACCATACATTCCTACCACAATATTCTGCCCTTGATTGGATGACTCTCCAACAATTATTCACATAATTAATTTCTCCAAATATCACAATTAAATCATGATCACTCAAACACATTATCCACATAAATCTTCATGTATATCTCAGACATGCAAAGGAATGCCTGTGTGTGTACACGCACACATGCACAGATGTGTAATTCAGCATGGAAAAGATCCCTAAACACAACTGAAAATCATGAAGATACACTTTATTCTTTGAAGTTTTTGTGTCTCCACAATAAATATATTATTCACAAACAAAATGAATGTAAAAGCACTGACTAGAGAAAACAGTTACAATTGTTTATTTGCTGAGTTAAATACCATTTCTTTTGTATTTTTGCTTAGTTTGGAGTAAAATGTTATTTGACCAAACTGCCCCCTCCTCAAAAAAAAAGAAAAAGACAGGGAGAGAAAGAAAAAAAAAGAGAAAGGAAGAAATACAAAAGAGAGAGAGAGTCAGAGCAAGCAAAAAATTAGATAGCTGATAGAGAAGTAGATAAAGAGAGATAGATGATGATAGATAAATAGTTAGGAAAAAACATGTAAATAAATATGGGATTAGGGAATTAATAAAGTTATTCTGCTTACCATATAATAATAATATGGTACAATAATAATATACCATATATATTTTGACACATTTTGTGAAGCTGGGCAGTCTAAAATCTTCTATCTATCTCATGCATTACTAATCAAAGTTATAACATAACAAAAGTTTGCATCCTGGGTACTAAGTATGTATGAATAAATACAATTTGGTGCTTAAAAAACTATATAGAGAACTTTTTTTGAATGAAAAATAAAACTTGGGGAGATTCCAAGATGGCAGCTAGAGGGAGGAAGCAGAAAGTGTGCCTCCTAAAGTGAAATCTTGGAGAGACACTGGAGACATACTTTGCAGGCAAGGCCACCGAGAAGAGGCAAAACTTTGACCCCTCCACACCTCCAGCCTGTGTAGAGCATCTCCACTTCATGTTGAACGGAGAAACCAGGAGGGCTCCTGGGCCACCAACAGTCACCCGCACCCTCATGGCTTGGGAAGATGCGGACCACAAGGTGAACCAGGTGGTACTCGGTACTCCCACAGACAACCCTGGGCCAGATAGCATAGCCCCCTGGACAGACTGACCCCCACCCAGGGAAAAAAGAAAAACTGAGTAATAAGCAATAAGAACAATAAAGACACGTAGCAAAGAGGGTGGGGAGCCCTGAGCGCCAAAGGGGGAGGAGGGGAATCCCTCCCAGAACTGTAAATAAAGAAGCCGGGCCTGGCTGGAGAGGCTGGGAGCAGCGGCAAGCACCCAGCAACCAGGAGTGGGAAAGCTTGTGAGAGTGGAGGAGGGAGGAAAACTCCACAGGAGAGGGGGAAGACCCACTTCCCATGTGAACTGTAAATAAACACACAGGCCTGAGAAAGCGGGTGCAGTGTCACCACCCCCAGTGTGTTTAGAAAGGGGAAAGCTTGTAGTAGCAGCTCACGCACAGTAGAACTCTTAGTAAACAAAGCCTGCAGGGCCCAGTGAGTGCTAACCTCACACTAGAGATCTGCATAGGTAAAGCCTCCAGCAACAGCAGGCTGAAGCAGTGGGCAGGCAAGCCACAGCCACAGATATCATTCACAGACCTGTCTCCAGACACTTTTTTCTCTCTCTACCTGCCTTTGATGAGAAAACAACCGAACTACACCTACATGCTGAAAAACTTACTGAAACTGTATTGCATTTGAACTTGGGACACTTTGTGGGTTTTTTGTTTTGTTTTGTTTTGTGCAGTTTTGTTCTATTTTATTTTTCCCCTTTGATGAGACAACTACAGAACAACATCT